ATAGCCTCGATCGAACTGAGACTATCCGAGAAGATGAAGTAATGGTCTGCGGGCATGTTGGAAATCATCCCCAAATCTTGATTTGTTGCCAACCAATATACAAATTCAGGCATGTAACAGGCTCAATTAGTAACTGTGGATGTACTTCAAGAACACTAAGTTGAATTTTTTTTTTAAACTTTATTTAAGAGACACTAAGTTGAAAGCCGGATAAATTCTTGCAAAAGAAGCGTCATTTACCTAGAAATAGCAGATAGTAGCTAGGGTAGGGAACTACTTTGGCGTAAGAACCCATTTCCGACCTATCGACCAAGCAGTAGACTGATGCAAAATTTGACTTTTTCGCTCCACAGTGCTTAAATGGTTTCAAATCGGGTCGTGATTAGCCTCCCAAAGTTACAACTCATTTGGTTAGAAACAGACTTCGCACAAGCCATTTGAAGTATACATGTAAATTACTATGGGAAATCTCAACTTTTTGTTCATTGCCTTCTAGTCTTTTTTCCATATTGAGCTGCGGAACAGTTCGATAGCCATTCTTATAGAAAATTTTCTCAGCTTTGCTAAAGATTGTTTCTAAGTAAAACGAGACAGGAAAAAGTTATTAATTATTTAAGAGATTGGTAAACTTATGACATGATCAACCAGCTGCTCTGTAGGCAACACTGTATTTTGCAGCGTGACATAGTAGCCATGATTTTTGTGTCCTATTCAACGCCCCAGAAACACCAATGTTGCCTGCTGAGCAGTTGATTGAGCATGATCATAAGACATCAGCGCATTGAACCATTGATAACTTTCGATCCTTGCATTTAATCAAAAATTTCCAACAAGTACAGTTGAAAGTTTTTGAAGCAGACCGATATGGTGAATTATTAGATAGACATGAACAAAAATCATGGTTTTACCATAGCAATTCCCATACAAACTTCAAATCGTTTGTGCCATCTCAGTTTCTCACCAAATGGGTTCAAATTTTGAGAGGTTAGTCAGGATCCGATTTGAAATCGTTTAAGTATTGTGGAGCGAAAATTTCAAATTTTGCATCACTCTACCAAGCACCCATATCCGACCAGAAACATCAAATCCTATATCAATGATTTCGACGTGAACGAATCTATCATACGATAGATAATTTAGTTCAAATGCTACGCATTATATGAAAATATACATACATTCTTCTCAAAAACAAAAGAAGTGCACTGAATGAATCTATTGCCACTTCCTCGGGGGTCCCGGAACATGATCGGATATGACCAATGTGATCCTAAGCACTCGGTATGGCTGCCGTTGGTCTTATTTCTAAATTCTGAGGTAATTTGATGTGTCGCATGATGGGTTTTGGTCATAGTCATGAACTGGTCACATCCCCAGGGGTACCCGGATCATGGCCGGATGTAACCAAAGCACATATGTGTAATCACCACTCACTTGCTATAAAAAATTGTTTTTCGGAATTATGAAATCATTAGATGTTATAATGGTTATTAGTAATTGAAGGTTAAAAGAAGGGGTCGTGAAGTATGTATTTGACACATAAAATCTGTCAATATTGCTTTCAGTGCGTCACAAACAGCGATTTTACGATTCGTGAGCGCTCACTCTGAATGAACGGTCACGAATCATAAGATCGCTGATTGTGACGCTCTGAAAGCGAAATTGACAGGTTTTATGAGTCAAACACACACTTTTCACCTGCTTCTTGTTACTTGCAAATACAACATATCATTATATCATCTTATGATTTCATTATTCCAGAAAACAATTTTTTATTGCAAATGAGTGGAAGCAAGCCTGGGTATAAAACTCTATTTCAACGCTCTTAATTGATAGTACCATGAAAACATGCATTTAAAATAATGATGTCTTGAGCAAAGTTGATGGACAAGACCTGTTCCATTGTTGGAGATATGAGTTTCATGATTAATCCCCTCAAAAATCCCAAATTCTGAGGCATAAAAATTACTGGTCACGTCTTCCTTCGGAGGGAAATTGAAGTCGTTGGTCCCGGCCCATGTGTGTTTGAATGGGTGCGATATCCTATGCAGCCGTGGAAGCTGCCTTCCTGCACATTCGATTGCCGTCAATGGATAACAATCGATGTCCGTCGGTGATTGGCACTAGATTATGGAACAGAGACCGACGTTAAATAAAGGAATGAATACAAAGTTGTTTGTAGAATAAAAATATTCAACTCATCCTCATTTTATTTTAAGAAAATAATGTTTTTAATGAAAAAGGCGTTTACCTTATAATTTGTTCTAACTTTTTATTAACTCAACCAAATATGCTCAATACTGAGCCAATATTTGATAAACGTATACTGAGTCAGCTGCCTTTTAAAGCCGTTTTTCTAAAATTTAAGTACTGCTGTACGATCAATATTGAGATACACTGTACGTGATGCCAAAATCGAAATCTAAGTGTATTTATTGCTGTTTGTTACTGTGTTACCACAGTTACTTAAGTATTTCAATAAATTAAACAAGATTGATTAGGTGTTTCATGCTGCTTCTGATAGTACTCACCAGCAGAGGGCGAACCGCATTCGGTCGTATGGAAAATCGACTTAAAAATGTAATGCGAAATTCATTTTTAATATAAAATATCAATACTGGTGCAATTTTTTCGACACGTTATTTCTGAATTATATGGCTATTATTAAAATGTACAAAATGTACCGCAAGAAGCAATTTTTGAAGAAAAATTACCGATTTTTCGAAAATCTCCATACCGGCGGGGCGGGGCGACATCTGTCAGTTTTTTTCTTGCAAAGTAATGTATTTTTTTTTGTTTGTGAGATACCTTTGGGGATGATCATAAACCACGTAGACACTCAAGGGGGAAGGGACTCAGTGCCGAGTGTCAAGTGTCTATTCAAAATTCAAAAAATGTGTGTGGACGGTTGTCTACACGGAGGGATTTTAAAGAAGATTGAGTAATTACAATAACGAGTGTTTCGTTTGCTATTGGCTTGGTTTGGTTAGGGATGGGGAATTAAGTCGAAAAACATTAGGCCAAATTAGGGGGGTATCAACATTTTTACATGTGCTAACAACGGAGTCAAGGGGGGTTTACATTTTCTTACGTGAGATATAATTTGATATTGACCGTTCTTATGTCAAAAAACCTGATCCAACGATTAGTCAGTTAACCGAAAATAACCGTCACACGAACAATATTTCTGCTCATAAACAAAGAAATGGCTATTATGCCACTTATGTCAAATCGCCAAAAACAGCATCACGTGGTAGGTATGATTTGTATCCATGACCTTACAGTAAAAGATTGCAGAAAAACGGAATTTTGAGGGTTGCGGATAGAAAAATCGAAAAAATATGCCATATTAATGAAATATTGTCTAATATTCAATTTTTGGGAGCAAATTCCTCGAATATATTAATCACAACGACATAGCCAGTGTTATCTCGGCTGTCGACAGAAGCAAACCACTCTCAATGTGTGTCACGCGATCGTCTGTTTACTCGGCAGCAACCATTGTGTGGTCCTCCTCATTGTTCTTCATCAGCAGTTCTTTCGGTCGATGCGTCGTCGACTTTGGAAAGCAACCGTTTCGTGATGAGTGTGTGAGTGATGACCATGTTTTGCGTCCATTGCTGCAATGGAAGCGCTCTGACCCTCATTGGTGAATCTGCCATACAATGAAACCACTGGAAGCGGCTCCCGTTCTGGTGGAGGAGACTTATTGGATAGCGGAAGATAATATGTTTATTGTGTTGTACCTTTTGACTATAGTTTTAAGATGTATTGTATAGTGAACAAGAATCCTCTTTAAAGTTAATTCGGTTGAGCCTTATCAAATAAATTAACGAAAAAAAAAACAACGACATAGTAAAGTACTCGACATAGCTTCCATTGGCACTTCCATAAATTATTATGGCTTTATACACGATGTTTTCAACATTCAATTGGTGGTTCGCTTAAATAATTTAAATCATTTTTTACTCAGAATTTTGTTTCTGGCATATTAACCACGTCTTCACTTACGGGCAGATTTACATATTATATTTTTTATCATCAAATAATGTTTAAAAAACACAGTTTGCATAAATTTTGCTTAAAAAACACGATATCTTCAATTTTTTTGAATATTTTTTTTAAGTTTCCTAACTATTTTAAAATATCTGAAGAAATGTCTGGCTCATTCTAAGAAAATTGTTGAGCAAATTACAAATACGTCTTTTGAAGATTTTTTTACTGTGGCAAGGTATTTCAGACAGTTGCTTTTTTTGTTTTTTTTTTGCTATACGCAAAAAATATGATCTAAGATATAAACATATTAATTATGGGTGTTTGCCCCGGTCAAAAAACTAGAAACTGTGAAAAAGGTATGATAATGGAAACAATTACTTTGTATAAACGTCGATTTCACACGAATCACAATACACCCATGCATATCTAACTTCACCATCCAATAGAATCCAAAAACTTCCTCTACCAGATGCTGTAGATAGTTTGCATGAATGTGTCTTAATCCTTGAACGCCTTTTTTACATGTTGCTCTAGAAATGTACTGTGAAAATTTATTGTTTCGTATTTTTGCATTACTCAATTTTATGATAGGTAAAAGGTAAGTATGTATGTTTTAAAGGAGTTTCAACGTAACCCTTATTCACATAATGGTTCAATAGTGTTACTTATACCATACCACAGACAACCAGACGTAACTCTTCATTGTGTATCTTCGTTCATGCATTGTTTTGAATTGATTTGAATATTATCAGTTCCGCGAACTACTCGCCGCAGCGCTGGCATCGAATCACTTTGACGTTTCTATATATTCTATAGAACTTTTATGCAATATTGTTTACGAGTTAGCGAGCAAGCTTGTTTTCCGCGAGAAGCCAGAGAGATGTCGCTACTGAGGTTAAATATATGTTTTGAGATACTATGTTTTCAAGAACAAGTTTTTCAAAGAGTTACGTCTGTTTGTCTGTGACCATACGTTAATTTATATACAGTTGATTAAATTTACCTACCTTGCAATAAATGTATTGTAGCTTGATATTCTGCCAATTTTTCATCTACGTAATCTTGAGACTGGTTCGCTATGATTTCAGCGGTTGATGGGCCAGCTTCTCCAGTACAATCATAGATTACGTATTGCGGTTGATTGCTGTATGAATTGTCGGAGATAGATTGGTATGAAAAAGACGGTGTAGGGTAGCGAACAGGCTGTCCTCTTGATTGCGGTCGTTGGAAGTTGGATTCCAGTTGATGAGTTGGTGTCGCAGAATACATCCGTTGCGGTGGTAGCATTACATTTTTGACTGCAGATGGTATCGAGCCGGAATATTGGTGTGTATAAGAGGTATTCCTCAACTGTGTTTGTTGAGTAATAGAACTCGTCTCATTGATGTGACGTTCCGGTATTGGAGTTGTTCGAACGCTGTGCAGATTCTGATTCTGTGTCTCATTTTGCAAAGCACCATTGGTGCATCTGATACTTGTCGCTCTTTGGTTTTGAGTTTCACTAGTCTCTACAGATTCATATCTATAGACAGGTTGAGGTAGGTATGTAGGCGATGCATTGTACCGTGCAAAAGCCTGTGGTTCAAAGCCACCGGTTGTCGACGGAGGCTGTTGTCTCGTGGCAGGTGCTGATCCAGGAGGTACCCAAGGTGATGGTGATCGAAAATAAGTTGGCGGTGGTGTACGAAGCCATCCCCGACCACTACCTCCTGAAGCGCCGTTGTTAATATTTGGTGGACCAGACATACTTGATAGTTAAACTTCTATTGGTTGCTATTCGTCCACCGTGAACATTTCACTCATTTCTTAGCTGCAACAAATTTCAAAAAAAGAAGTATCTGTGATTTGTGTTTCACGCGCTGTTTATATATATAAATTGACGAGTGACGTCATTTATTCGAAGAGTTATTTATACGTTCTGACACAAATCTGGAAAAGTATATTTGTGTTGAAAGTTGTTAAAAATAGAACGTTTCGCCGTTCGCAACTACGTCATTCACTCTGGTTTCTTTGCTATCAACTCTTCATTTTGTAAGCTGCAAGACACATCACGCACTGAATAAAATACTTCAATTCACTATAATAAATCACCGCAGGACTGTTATCCTTTAATTTAAATTTCAACTGTGCGCCAATTAATCTTTTTATTGCCATGACATCATTCACCTTATCCACATGTTACAATTTAAGATGAAAATATTTCTTCCCCAAGGCAATGTTTTCTACAATAATTAACTTTTTTTTTTTGCTTCAAAATGCGATGGCACTTGCTAACACCTTCCCAAGATAACTAAAGCACTTTTCTTCGAATATGCTCCGAACCGAACATAATGCAAATGAACCACCTTTTTGCGTCGAGTGACAAAAATACCCTAATATTTTCTCGTGTTATTCTTTCTATTTTTGGGTTGAATAGCAGAATAAAGCTAAGTTTAACGTCTGACGACTTTGTCACCTTGTGATATTTTTTGAAAATTATTCGTTTTGCTTCACATTGTGGTTGAACGTGGTGCCATGCTATTTATTATCACAACTGCACTCATTGATGTGGCGCCTTTCTTTATTAACTTGACTCTTTATCAACTGCCATAGTTAAAATACACAATCAAATCTCAATTACTTAAAACCATGGCTTTTCATTACATTTTTTCTAACTAAATCATGATCAATTAAATTTCGAATTTTTCACCATTTATATTTCATTTCATTACATAACCTCGAACTTCACACATCACGATTTCACCATTTTCAATACGGCTTTTTTCTTCAGATTACTTTTTCACATGTGCACAAAGAGATTATTTTCAAAGTGTGTTCCCAATGCTCATCAACAGTATTCGCAACACTTTTCCCGAAATCAATGCTGGCTTTTCCAGCTCAATGATGACCAAATACACTATATTCTTCAAATAGCACACACTTTTTATTTTTAGAATTCGGCGTTCTAGTACTTACTATCTAGCTTGAATTTGACTTTACCCGACGAGATCGCAAAACTGACTGGCGTTTGTGATCGGCCTGACCAGAGATCATGCGGTAACGCTTCTTTGCGTATGTGTAGAATGTTGCGCGCGCATGCACAAATGTTCTCAGTCGTTATTTTTGTTGTTCAAACATGATTTATGTATATTTTCACTTGTGTAATGTTGATTACGTTTTTTGTGTGACATACTTGGAGAAAGTTATATTTATTTTTATGGACTGTACCGAAATGAATGAACGCCCCTGGATCTTAAAATGTGATTTTTTTTACAATTTGGCAGTGATATTTTATAATGATGATGACGATGATGATGGCCCGATCTCTTACCCCTACTCCTGGATGATTTATCTTTAAGATAATTAAGTATGGCATCTTAACCAGATTATCAAACAAAAACGAACTGGTGATACAGATATAGATATAAATTGTCCCTCTACAGTTTACAGTTGCTTCACAGCGATATAAATGTGGAAAGCTTAGGCGTTATCCTGGTTGCTCAACTTGTGGTCCACCTCAAATATTGTAGCGTTCAAGAGCTCATAAATAACCAACAAAGCATCCATCTACACTAGTAATCTCGCAATCTGATGCTATCATAATTTTCAGCTATGTCAGGATTTTCAAGGAATCCCCAACATTCAACTAGCAAACTTACTACTAATTCATTCCAAATAGGCCTCAAAGTTCAAATTTTTTCATCAATAATTAAATTCAGTCCAAACCAGTCCGTAGCACGCGCGCGAGGCTCAAAGTGAAACACGAAAAAACAACTTACTGTTTTAAAGCATCTTATAGGTGTTTTAAATACAAAGACTCAGTTTATCAACAAAGTAAATACAGATTCTTGTTGTTAATTAAGCATACTAAAACAACAATTTGAAACAAATAGAGAATTATCGGAACTAATTGAAGGTCGTGTATTTTTATCAATTTAGGATTCCACATAGTTTAGCCATATGAATGCACATAAAACATTATGATTTTTTTTTTTTTTTTTTTTTAGTTCTTTATTAAGGAGATTTTTAGCCTTTGGCTAGTTCAAACATTATGATTGTTCATATGCACTGTGAGCTGAAAAGCATCTATTTAAACGCTTCGGAAAATTATCAACGATGGTCGTAAGTTCTTCAGCGATATTTAGTAACTTTTTGTAGAAACGATTTAAGATGATCCAATGATTTGTGATTTGTTCAGCACCTTCTGACTCAAGAGTTAGCCAAATTGTGAAATTCTTTGGATTTCAATCTGGCAAGTTTGCAAGACATATGCTTTGAAAAATACATATAAATGTAGGTGCTCTGAGACTGACATATACGAGTGTCAATTTTGACATAAAATTGAGTCTTCTTCTTCTTTTTCCTCTTATTTGGCTTTAATACGTTTATTATTATTATTATTATTATCTCTATTTAGGAGATTTTCAGCCGCAGGCTGGTTCATCTCCGAACAGGCTTTAATACGTTTCCACTGGATCATTAGGCCGGCCCTCAACTTAGTGTTTTTGATCACTTCCACAATTGTTAACTGAGAGCTTTCTAAGCCTCCATCATTTTGGAATTAGTATAGTTATCGTAAGTCTAATAAGTCGAGAAATTGTTCAACCCGAAAAATTCCTTGGCCAAACCGGGGATTGAACCCAGCCGCCTCCAGCATGGTGTTGCTTGCTGAGCTAAGGGAGTTCCTTTGATTGAGCTGAATTTTTCCATCGAAATATGGCGAGTAGATTTTTCCATCGATATATGGCGAGTAATTTGTTTCCGAATACAGTTAACTCTGGAGGTGGGGTCGATAGGTAGGGTCCATCTGTGGGAGCTGCCTTCCTGGCGTCCGTAGCTTTGGTACTCAGTACGGAAAACAAATCAAGGAATGTTGTATGGGAATCTGAATGGACTGCCAAAATCATCGAGATAGGGAGAAATATCAAGAGATAGAACATGTATAAATGCAGAGTGGACTGTAATTCAGAATTTGTATGATGTTGGCACAGGGCTAATGATGGCTAATTGAGGGATCAGCATTGCTGCCAGTTACCAGATGAATCGTGGGTTGCGGAAAACGCATGGTCATTAGATATTAGATTTTATGATTAGCAACGATTTTGAAATAAGCAATGCTGGAGCTGTCTATGGATGTGACTGGACATAGAACTACCACTTGTAGCAAGACACCTATTAGTAACTGTGGTCTGTCAGTGATAGTTGGTCAACAGTGATAGCCTTGATCAAGAAAATTAAAAATCTCTACTGTTCTACATCTACCTGCAATTGTATGTAGTGACAAAATTACAGATCTCAATATCTCAATATAAATATCAATTATCAATACAGATTTAAAAAAAAAACAGTGGGGAGCAGGGTATTCTAATCCACCATATAAACGTGACCCACCCTAGTGGACATACGTGCTATGTAAAAATCAATTTAATTTATACTAATATACAAATAGTATATAAAATATTGAACATATATCACAACTCCTTAAAAAGAACCGAGTTCGGTTCCGTTGATTCGCTAGATTCACTCCATCATGATTATCTTCGGTAGCCCTTTCGCTTATGTCTGTTTTCCTCCGCCAGACGCTTCGTCTTCATCATACAGCTCCCGACTCCCGAATGTAGTCTATAGTCGAACCACCTGTGCTCTTCTCATCTGAACCATTAAGAAAAATCACTTCGCAGCTTCCAAAACGATCCGAAGAATCAAGGAATTTGTCATCGTAATGTTTTTCACAGATCACACTTTTCAAACCGGCTATAAGAAAAAGATTCGTTTGAATTATATGCAAAAGATTGAGACTAGAAGAGACTTACTCCGACTCGACCAAGACTCCCGGATAACTAGCTCAGTAGCACGAGACCCCTGAACTGAGTCACATGGCCGGCATGCTACTGGATAATTTGGAGGGGCACGTGGAACGTGGAATTGTTAATTTATTCAACATGAAATAATTAAATGGAAAGTTCAAACGTGTGGGTTGCAAATGTCAAAATATTTGTTAAGAAACTGAACTATTGGGTGTATTCAAAGTTTATTGGGTTATTGCGGGGTGTATTGTGTGGTTTCTGCTGCTTTGGTACGTACCGGTGGTGTTGTTGTTGCATGACGGCGAGCGCTCGCGGATGGTGGTTGCTTGGTGATCGGCGTTGTTGGTTGACCGGCTTCCGTGGCTTCGATTGTTTCGTCGTGATGGCGACTGACAACTTGATCGGTGTTGAAAAGGCGGATCTTGGGCTTGGGTTGGCGTGTTGCAATGGTGGTTCGCAACCAGGTAATACAGCGATACTGGGTCAACGGCATCCTCCTTCATTGACGAGATCGGTGGATCACGGACGAGACCGTATTGGCCACACCGAGGAGGGTAATTCCTCCTTAATGATTTGGACTTTGTCCGAGGAAACTATCATAATTTATAAACGAGAATCAAAAAAGATCCTGAAGGACAAATTGTGGTATTAACCACAGCCAATGTCGCAGTTTCTACGAAATAGTTACCTGAACACGTACACACGTACGCCGGATTACTTATGAGCAATGGTCGACTATCCTAGTTTTCAGTCTGCCCACGTTTTCCAATCCATTTTCAATTCGCTCCTTATTTCCTCCATTTTCCTTCCTTGTGGTTTATCACTACCCATCCATATCCAACTCCTGCAGCTTAAATTGTTTGTTGGGGATCCCATGTATAAAAGAATATGTAATATATAAATTGTATAGGGGAAATGTCAGCTTCGGCAATACCTTAACCTATTATCGTCAGAGGGTAAACAAAGTCTTAGAGCACTCAAATTTGGTCAATAGATGCCTTGAAATACAATGTATCCACATGCCAAAATTGAGCTCGTTGTTTATCCCCCTGACAATAATAGGTTAAGGTATTGCCGAAGTCAACATTTCCACTAGTATATACTAAATGTGAAATAATAATGAAAATAAATAAATATGTCTTACGAAAATAATGTGTTGTAAATAATAATGATGATACTAATTTTACTTGAACCGCTTCGAAAGATGTTTTCTTAAAAATATCAAAAAAAAAAATTGTTAAAACGATTACACAACTTTTGAGGGTTCAAGAATAATGAATTATGAGCCGGTAAATAACACCGTTTTTTTTTTGTTTAAATAATGCAAACTTTTGTTGCGAATAAAATATTTGTTTCTGCGAGAATAGTATTGCTAAAAACATATATACAAAATAGACTAAGAATATCGCTAAATATCGTGAAACATCGTGAATTTTGAATAGTGAATTCTGAATAATTAAAATAAAAAAATATCGTTACAAATTAAGCTAATAACAAAAACTTCACATGTTCGTCATCGACAATTGCCATGGTATCCGATGAAAATCATGTATAGATTTTGTGAGTGACGAAAGCTGTCTTTTCAATGTCATGCATGATCGAAATTTTGTAGCACTGCCCGTAAAAAAGAGTTGCACACAAAATACTGAAGAAGATTCACGGCTACATTCTCCGTCTCTTTGAGCATCTTGTCGTATTGGAAATTTGCTCCGCTTCCCAACTTCCCTATACATGTATCAAATATGTCAGTACTGAGTACTCATATCAATGGTGACACATTGCTTTCTCGTGCAAAGCCCTATACATAAATATAGTTGGAATAATTTTCACTTCTTTGGTCATATCTCTGGAACCAAGTGCTCGATCGGGATTAGCAAGGTTCTAAGGGATACTACCACAATCTCTTAAATAAAGAATTAAAAAAAAAAAAACCACTACGATTAAAAACACACTGAAATAAAACGCTTCGAAATGTTTTTAATATGGTCGACAACTTCTCTGTTTTTGATCGATTGACAAAATTTAAGTGCTTGTCTGTGAGAAGTAAGTTGATACGCTGGGATAGCAGGGTTATCTAAAAATGAATGATTGGTCAAATCCAAGTAAAAATTATCCAATTGGAACACAGCCTTAATCTTCTAATTAGACCTCAGCATCAACCAAAGTTTGCATAGATATTAGTTTTGAGTGTAACGACTGCAATGTCATACGCCCATTTAGAAACACTTACAGATTTTGACAGCACTGAGGAGAATGTGTTGTTTAATGTTTTGACTCATAAAGTTTTGTGTCATTCCATTCGATAAAACAGCTGCGGGAATATTTCATTTGTGAATATATAAGTAAGCCATCGTTAACAGAAATGTGATATTTAAGTAAACTGCAATGATGGCAATATTGTTTGCATCTATTTTATTGCTACATTGTGTTTAGTGTGCCACTGTTTAGAAATTATAAATTTTCAACATCAGTGACAGTGCGTCATGTTGTTAGTACTGAGAAGCCATCTCAGATGAATATAATCTGTATGGAACCTTTTTGATAGGTGGTAGTGCAGCTCTTGATGATTGTTGATACTTGGGAAGCGATATGTGCTTATGTGAATCCCAGTTCCAAAAAGTAATGTTATCATATTTTAAAAACTGCATTGGACGATAATCTATTGTTGTAGTACTTAAATATGGATCAACAAGCCTCGAAAATCCAACATCATTTGTATTAACAATATGGTTTGGGGCCTCTAAATTGTTGATACAGTTCAAGCCGTATTTGTGAGTATTGGCAGGAACATGCACTGCTAGTGAATCTGACTGTTTTGCATCTATATTCAAAGCCTTTAGTAAATGTGTATTAAGCTTTGGCTGAGAGACTTTTATATAATGTATACGGGGAGCTGCATTTAATAAACTTGAAACCTCGCACTTCAGGGGACACTGCAAAATATTCGAAATGTATGTACATTACCTAAAAATCTATTCTGTATTTACCTACTTTCATGGTAAACTGATATCTGCTTTCTGATATAGATTTCCATTTTCTATTCATTGAATATGATGAATATTCCGCTGTAGTTTTGGGTAATCTGTAATTCATTTATCTAATTCAAAGCAATTTATCACGGTTAGCTACAAAAAAGGTACCGAAGAAGTGTAAGTTATTCAAATGAATAAAAAGGTCTCTTTTTACATTGGAAACGAAGTTTGTAGTAAACAACGAGAATCTTTCGTTTCCATGGCTATTCACTTGTTCGTTCTATTATTTCGCAAAATAGCACTCATATCCTCACAATATATTGTATGAGTAATATGTCAGGGCTTCTTCTACATGAACCAGCTGGGGAGCAGAGCTGAACGTGTTTGTCTTTTTTTTTTTGGGTTTAATTTCATGGTTGAAAAATAGCACGGAGAACTAACATGATTGCAATTTCTTCAATTCTCTACAGGGTTCCAATGGGTCTTCCTGACTTACCTGAACAAAATGATGGAGATGAATTTCGAATGGAAGAGGACACTATCATCAATGCGGATGTTACAACTGATGATAGCGAAAATGAGTTCAATGACGAAAACGAATATATGGGATATCAACCACTAAATTTAGGAGATAATAACGATACGCTGGTTGAAAGTGATGATCAAAACGACTCTCAAGTAACTACACCAACACATCGGGGAAATAACTCGAATCCTGTGTTTCTAAATGTGGATGTATGGAACGCACCAAGGCCCGATGAGCTTAATATAGAGTTAGATCCAGCAAAAGCAGAACAAGTTAGTGGAAAAATATATTTAAGTTATATCCTTCACAACATTATTATATTTTAGATTCTCAATGTAATGGCTGGATTTAAGCTACCCAACTCTTCGGTTCCGGAATGGGCTGTAGGAATTCCAGAAGACCGCTGGAAAGAGGAGTTGTTGCAACGTATTCGCCAGCGACAACATTTTCACCCAAGCAAAAATACAGATTTAAGCGACTAATATCAATGTGATACAATATAAACAAATAAACAAGCATACAATTTAAATGCTTTTGATGGTGGTTGAATATTTTGTGTGACACTAATAAGCTGACATTTTTTGACCTAGGTAAATACTGTATAAAATTACATGGTTATTGAAATGTTTCTTCTTTTCATAACCTCTTTAATTATCTCCGTTAATGATGAATCCAATGCCGAAACCTTCGTAAATTTACATGTGATGTAAATTAGCATAACTTGCAAGGCTAATAAAAATTATCAATTATAGGCGAGTGTTCAATTTGATTCATAACCCCAAAATGACAGTCTGTGCAAAAAATGGTAAAGATCGATGAAGGTTTAGAGGTACCGCAAATGGTTTGAAGTTTGTAGAAGCAGTTTGCATATCTCAAATATCGCTTTAACTATGATTCTAATTCGTCTGTTCACAGAGCAATAATATTTACATTATTTAACAAATCTCAGGTAATCATGACGGCAGTAGGTATCGTTTCTTCATGTATCTTTTTCGATAGTAAAAAAGTCACGATTGTCAAATAATGTCATGAGAATTGAGAATTGTCAAATAATGTCAATACTATTGTCCCGAGTATCGAAGAATTGACCGAACGATGTTAAAATTTAATATCTGGTTGCCATTTTTTTTATTAAAGTGAATCCTAAATGATCAACAAGCCTCTTTTTGTTGCAGTCAATTTGTTAGCGATTCAAGACAGATACAAATGTTGAAAGTATTACAAAATAGAATAAATTTATGGTTGAATGTGTGCCTGACAACAAACCTATTTCATCACAAGGCACATTGTTTATCGTTGTCATGGCAAAAAAATTCAAATTTGACGGCAGATCCAAGTAACAGTTATGCATTTATTAGGGTTCTGTAGACCATGGTTTAGATTTGTAGAATGCTTTAAAACCTCGTTAAAACTTGGATTCTGACAACTTGATAATATGAATCAAACTGGTGACGTACTTGATCGCACACAAAAAAAATAATAATAACCTATTTTGTTTCAATTGTTTCGTTAGTTGTTTTTGGTACCGTTTATTTTTACTCAAACAGCTCAATCCTTAACAATAAAAAAGAGAGACAAATTTTGCAAATGGAAGCGATAATATTTTGCTGTTTCTTATACCAGCCCTAAGTAAGCATTACCAGTAACGAGTAAAAGACTACCGCACTACCGAGGCCCGCTATTTCACATTTTTTTAAATTATATCAGCTCTAATTTAGCATGTAGTGCTTCATATGCATTAAGTAACTGTTTGATATACGGATGTATAGCATAAATAGGGCTTCATTTTATTTATTTATTTATTTGTTTGATCGTCTTCCAATAAATCGTACCGTCTACTATGGTTCATAATCCTATCCTATCAGTCTTCGAGGTGAAGATTAATAAGGCATTAAACTATTGACACCTCTTATGCACCGTCACTAGGACCTACTTTTAATTAATTTAAATGCTTAAATTACAATACAACCATATTTGAGCACCACTTGTTTTCGTGGACTTCAAATTTTGACATCTTCAAAAGATTTGGATGTTTTCACTGCTATTTTAAGGTAAGGTAAGGTTTCTTTATTGAAGAGGTTTTCAGTTTGGGGCTGGTTCGCCTCCGGACTACTGTTTTACATTTTATTCATAGAAAATAATTTTCCCAACCTGCACTTACAAATGTTTTATGTTCAAATCATCAGCATGGACAGAACATAAAATCACAATTTGATTTCAGTTCAGTTCGATTGACACCCTTGATAAAAAAAATTTGTTTTCATTTTGCTTTACTTCTACTCGCTCTTGAATACGTTGCTGCGGATTTTTTAGCCTTTGTAGAACATCAAATTGAATAGTCGTTTTGTTATCAACATGAAACATGCACATCAAATTGAGTTTTCAGTTTGATCTCAGACTTTACTCGGGAACAGTTTTGGATAACAGACTTTTATAGTGCTAAAATGCATATGCCAGGATCTATTTTCCGAACTTCGGACCCAGAATGAAAAGCATTTTCACTGACAAGCACTAGCGTACCTGCAGCTATAATAAGCCACATGCTTTGATGGCGAAAATCCAGTGTGAAACGCATCGCTTACTGAGAATAAAAATGTTTCACTGTTTGTTTCACCGATTTTTCCAAATTTCATACCTACTAGCTACAGAAATCCCCCGAGTGGTACATTCCAACCATCGCATTTTCTCGGCTGTCCTCCAACCAATTGAGCTGATAGTTTTATTAGTAGTAAAATCACGTTTATTTCTGTTAACTATGATTTTACATTGTTTTATCATTTTAATTGATTAGCCTATCAGGCTATTCATCTTTGTTTAAAGAGCTGATTGTTTGTGATTGGTGTCAATTATATATTATAATCACGTAGAAAAAATCAGCTCAATCGGTTGAAGTACAGCTGAGAAATAGAGAAATACTATACAGAAAATTGTTTAAAAAACTTTCCGCTACATTGCTTCACATCTGCAAAAAAACGGGAAAGTTATAGCAGAACTATTTCCTACACTTTGAACAAGCATTATCAAATACGCTAAAACAAGTCTGGCACCACTGAGTTTAAAAAATTTGAGCCATTTTCCTACCACCAAGATTCTATACGATGGCAGTGCTCAGTTGCTCCACTGCTTCTGGTGAGAGAGAACCGCTCTCACAGAAGCAAAGAAAAGGTTGTTTATTTCTGTCCACATTTTTTTTTATGTAGTAATTGAAGTTCCAATTTTCAATGTGATAGTGATGATAGTGATAGTGATGATGAGTTTATATATGTCACATTAAGTAAATATTATAATCAAATCATTATTATGAATACTTTCCAGGTTTTTATGATTGCAATTTTAACATCAAAACAAGCTTCGGTTGCATGATGGAATAGTTTTTATTCGGTAGTTAAAATAAGTTCTAAGTTTCTATCAATGATTGCAATGACAATGCTACAAATTTGGTTTATTTTGATTTTATCAAAACAGTGAACATTAGTTTAGTGTATTTTTGGTGCGTTAAAACCCTTAAATTATTGATAAAAGTCCAATGCTGAAAAGTCCAAGCAAATGCTAAGAAGTCAAGAGTACTAATCGATGGCGGTACCTGTGAAAGTAAAAATAGACTCAGTATTAAAATTGCGATCAATTTCAAGTGACACAGATTTAACATTTGGGATAATCATTGAATTGTTTCCCAGTTTTATCGAAGCGTCAAAGTATGGTTCTCGATGTTCAATGGAAGAAGAATGTGAATGTTTTAGAGAAACAGATAGCTTTCTAAGCTTGTCACACGTGTAAGTTTCAATGTAGGTTATTTAGAGCATGCTATTTCATGCATAATTACCAGCACACCCTACCAAGGAATGTAAAATTCTCTTACAGTATTACATTAAAAAATATATGCGATTCTGTAAGAAGTCACTGTATGAGCAGATTCTGTAATGTGGTCGTCGGAAGACTTTTCAAATACCTAATTGTGTTAAATAAATCTTAGCTAGTATTATGAAGTAAATACATTCCCGCCTATTGATTGAACAATAAAATATATCTTATGGTATATGGTATGACAAAATACAATGGCTACCATTAAAGTTCTCGTGTGAAATATCCACTAAGGATATATTCATCGAAACTTTACTCAAGGGACATAAGTCTCTGGTCTCTCCAGTAAATTGCGACTATAATTAATTAGAATGGGTCTGATCACGATAGCGAATATAAGTCGAAAAATAGCAATTGATAACGTGCAAGAAGATAGAGCAGTTTTAGATAAAGGAACTGGATGTTATAGAGGTGACGGGGTAATATCGGCCTTATTTCTCGATAATAATGTTTTTCCTAACGATATATATTTGCTTTTGGTCATATAACCCCGTGATGCGTATTACCCCACCATATCTTAAAGTTCTTTAAAAAATGCTATTTATTAAAGATCAATGGAAAAAATATCCTCATTGTCGTACATAAAATCATAAAAATTGCGGTAAAAATTATAGATGGAATCAAAAATATTTGTACAATCAATAAAAATATTTGTACAATCAATAAACAAAATAAGAACAAATTCAATGTTTACTTTATAATTATACAGATTATGTATTAGGATATTTAGTTTTAATGTTTCTTGTACACAGAAATAAAATTCTGAATTTTAACAATCGCGTAAAATCTCCGTTCGTTTAATTTTGAGCTATACTTGGCATAAACAGCGAAATCGATTACAAGCTTGCATACAATATTGCTAATTTATGCGATATTGCACTTAAATTTACACGAAATATCGCGTAAATTTATGCCAAATCTAACGTTAATTTTATGTGGGCTATATCTCGCAGAAATTTACATGAATTTTTCGAACGGTGCACAGTACCATTCCGTTTTTGTCTTCTTTCCTATCTAAAAAAAATCATCGAACGCTTTATTCAATTAATGGTTTCACTAGATCGTTCTTTAGGGATGATAAATGCTTGGTACTTTATGGAAAACAGTATAGGAAGCATTAGTACAAATTTGCCAAGATTTGCATTTTACTGAGATCCAGTGAAAAAATTTCGAGGACTCAGCAACCAAACATCACTTTTACTTAGATATCAGTAAAAAATGATTGCTGGGAGCTCGGCTATGTAAATCTCGGCAAAAATAGCCAAGATTTGTCAAACAAAATTAACTGTTTATATCAAACCGAGCTTTTGTACAAATTTTCAGTTAACTCGCTGAGGATTAGTAAGTGAAATAGATTTTATGATTTTATGTAGAGAATATTACGTTTATTTGTATGATGGAAAATCCTTTTCCAAATTTCAAACCAAGATGTATGTGTCATCTACAACAACTTTGCAATCCGAAATAAATATTATATCGGTTATATGAACTTTCCTGCTATGTAGTAATTGAGTATACTTTAAATCGCATGATGATCTCCATCCTAAAATAAAGGTAATGTATATCAAAGCGAAATTTAAAGTTAATTTGTCGTGACAGTTGTACATTATTTATATTCATTACTTCTGTGATTGTTTCGTAATACTTAATAATTTCAATTAGTAACTAACAGGGGTAGTCTTCCGCCATAAATATCAATGAAGAAGCACCATAAAAACGAACAAAAACAAAACTTACCTAATAGCGTTTGGTTGATTACGCAACCATACCCCTGGGACCTGGGTACAACTTGGACGTTTACTGAGTATCGTTGATACGGGATCGATTGTTTTTCGATTCTATTAAACTGATTGCCCGCAAGCTCAGCAGGAGCACGCACTATCAGACAGAAGATCAAAACGTTGTTGATACTTACATATCACAAACTGTGATTACCTGCCGGTCTCTGCAGCTAGCTGTTTCTGCAACGTAAAAGAAAGATACCTACCTCTAAACTCTGACTTTTTTCCGTCGACTTTTTTTCATTGAACGAGCTACCCAAGTCACCATCAAGCCCTCTAATGTGAAAAGTACAATATATAAGGCTAATGTAAAAATTTACTGCCGTATATCAGCCTTATATTGTAAAAACGACCCTAATCGGGCTACTAACGGGCTTGGCGGTTACTTGGGGACTTTGGACAATATATGAAACGAGAATTAAAAAAGTAGATTATTGAATATTTTGAATATTTGTCCACCCAGCTTGAACTGGCATAGTTCCTATAATCATAGTCTGGTTGATAGAATTTCAAGAAGCTGTCAAAAAGCGACACGAATAGGAACCAATCGAGCAGTACTGAGTTTTTCAGTAGAAATATTGTGATCGTGCAGTTTATGGAAACATTTGATTTGATGATGTTCATCACGGATCATATGAAGTCTACTTAACGCTTGTATGGAACTTTCATAATAATACTTAACGCGTTTTTATTGAATATAGCGATTATTGTTTAAAACTTTTTTAAACTAATAAATGATACTTCTTTTTAGTGGAACGAGATTTAATAATTCAAGGAGATGGACGACCAAAAACTCCTATCTATCAGCGATACACAGCTGCTTTACAAAGTGATCCACGGTGCTCCCAAGAGGTAATGTATAAGAAGTATAAAACATATAGATGCAGTTAACTATTTATGTGAAGGGCTGTTCGCATACCAAGTGTGGACGATTGTCGACGGGGGTCTAAAATTTCTTAAAAATTGACCACGGGGTCAATGAACTCTTATAAAAGACAATTTATACCGTCTTCAATCAAAGGTTGTACAGACTTAACACTTAACACTAAGACAAGAATCCCATCCAACTCCCAACAAATTTCCGGGTTACTGTTAATTAAGTTACTCACTTCTTTTTCATCCAGGTTGCTCTTGGGCGTAGGATCGGCTTCTATAGATTTTGCGGTGATATTGGTCGAGGAAACTTCTCACGTGTTAAGCTGGCTGTGCATCAACTAACCAAAGGTAAAATCATGGAGCACTTCATGTTGAGCGGTTTGCATTGATACGAAGTTTTAGTTACACACTTTATTATATCCCGTATTTAGTGCAATATATAGCGATAGACTTATGTTTGTATTGATTGTATTTACACATTGCTTGTAGAACAAAGGACTGTGACAAATGCTTAGTAATCATTTAATTTCACATGCTCTTTATCGCTTATCCTCTCAACTTAGTGTTCTTTGAAACACTGCCACAGTTATTAATGTAAATTGTGTGGCGAGCACAATGATACTCCAACTAGGGAAGTCGAGAAAATTTAATACCCGAAAGATTTCCTATGGTGCCTCCGGCTTGGTGGTAATACCGTACCGCATATGACTAGGCTATCTGAGGCCCCTGCGTCTACAATGTGCATGTCGGTGGCTAAACAATTTTTAAGTTTTTCTCAAAAATTTCACGTGGCCTTGCTTTTCACTCCAAGTTTACTCGATTCTTCTTGTTTTCGTTTTGATATGGCTCGAACGGTTCGAACGAAAACATGAACATTTTAGATGCAATAACATATCTGTCGACGATACGCGATTACCAGGGTGGCCAGTAAACTGAGAAAAAAAACAGAAGCCTGGAATTAAAAAAAAAGCCAGGAAAACCGGGCAAAAACCGAGAATTCTACAGGAGACTGGGAAAAACCTTCACATATTCCAATAAAAATTGACGTTGAATAAGAGTTTGAGCTTAATCAAGCAAACATATGCATCTTCAACTAAAAATAGCTTATTCCGCTCTTAATCATCTAAAAGCTTTGAATATATTTTCAACATTTTATTTGAGAAAAGCTCTGCTCAGAAATCCGTTGGAACTCTTCCCAAAATATAAGAATTTTCTTGAAACTTACTTAATAACTTCTCTTAAATTATAGTTCGCACTTTTATGAAGTTAATTCTACAAGTCAGATCTTTATGAAAGTTATTTCTGAAAGCAGGTATGAACGTGTATTGTTTGATTTATCAGCATTAGTAGAAATATTAGAGCTGTTTGAAGAATTAAACTCAGTCATTCTATGTGAGAGCCCCAGAAGAACCGCTACGTCATCTGAGAAATATTAGAGTGAGCTGTTGTCCCACCCACTGTTGGACTTTTCAGTGCCAGCTGACTGATTTGAATACGAAACACAACACCTTGATGAATTTTAAATTGGTGTTTACCCGCATAGTATTCCAATACACTTGTGGCGCAGTGCCATGCCGGCGCCGGTGGTGTAGTGGTAAGCGTGACTGCTTTCTAACACCCCGATGGGTCTGGGTTCAATCCCAGTCGAGGTCGGTGGGATTTTTCTGAGGCATAAAAATCTCTGGTCACGTCTTCCTTCGGAAGGGAAGTAAAGCCGTTGGTCCTGGCCCATGTGTGTTGAATGGGTGCGATATCCTACGCAGGTGGTGGAAGCTGCCTTCCTGCACATTCGATTGCCGTCAATAGATGGCAATCGATGTCCGTCGGTGATTGGCACTAGATTGCGGAACAGAGACCGACGTTATTTTGTTATGGCCAAGTTTTCATCCTTGCCTGAAGTTCCTAAGAAGTGCCTAGGGGTGCTTTTGGAACTTACTTACGCATCAGAACTTTTAGGAGCCTAAAGTTCCTCGTGTGCATTCTATAGCTTCTAAAGTAACCAGAAAGTTCTGTCGAAACTTTATTTGAACTTTATGGAAGTTGAAAGTGCATTTTATCGTTGAATGTGGAACTTTTGGTTGCTTGGCTCTGCACATGCAAGTGTTGTGATCTAAAATATGTTTCTTATCGTGCAACTTTGAAGAATCCCTAGGCTTTATTCGAATTAATTGTGAAATATAATAGAATTTACATGCTCTGTTTATGTATTCGATTTGATTCCAGATAAAGTAGCAATTAAAGTTGTTGACACTAGTCGCTTAGATGCTAAGGCGCTCCGAATGCTTTCCAGAGAAGTTACTACACTTGAAGCAGTATTTCATCCTTTCATTTTGAGGTTAGAATTCATTAACATTCACAGTCAGTGCTTACATTACACTAATTTTAGGCTATTTGAAGTCATAGAAACTTTAGGAAAAATTCACCTCGTTAGTGAATGGGTTCAAGGTGGCGAGTTGTATAATAGAATTGCTGAAGTAGGCCCCTTAGAAGAATACCATGCAGCATTAATATTTTATCAACTATTAATGGCAGTGAAATACCTGGTAATCAGTATCTTTCTAATATTTTAGAATCATCACTTTATCTTATTTTATTTTTCAGCATAGCTTGGGCTACGTTCATCGTGACATTAAAGCGGAAAATGTGCTAATGATAAGCGATGAGAGAATAAAATTGGCAGATTTTGGATTTAGTACTCAACTAATTAATGGTCCGTGGCAACATCTAGATACGTTCTGCGGATCTCCACCATATGCAGCACCAGAATTATTTAGTGATGATCACTATATAGGTGGTCCTGTAAGTAAAGGCATAGTTTAGCAGATGTGCATCAGCTATGGTACTATCCCATATACGGAATGGGACCAGTTTGCTCAACTAAAATGCATTAGGCCATGATTGGTATCTATATCTGATACATTTTTTAGTAGGTACCATGATTTCATTGATGGTGGTAAGCTCCAATCGGTATTATCCTCAGATTAACACGACGCTAAGCAAACACTTTGCAGATCATCCAAACAGGGGCAGTATAAAAAGTTAATCCGAGTTGGAGCTTACCGGCATGAGTGTTTCGTTACGTAGGCAGATCCGCACATTAGATCCGGATCGGACGCGTTGTGGCAAAGTGACAGCTAAACTTATTGTCTAACTGTCAAATTTACGTGAACGCAACGCAAACGGATCTAATGTGGGTGGACCTTGAGAGATAAGGGTTCTAAAATTTAATAAAAAACTGTCTACGTTGTTTATAGAGCTTTTTGACGTTTGATCATCTTTCTCTATCTAGCACACGGTGATCAATGAATTAATTGATTTCCTACTAATTTGCTTGCATCTGGCTCGCACTTCTTCGAATTAGACAGTGCAGTAGCTGCAGTAGTGTGCATCGATTAAACATCAAAAAGCCTAATAGGCAGCGTTAAGTAAGACTATAATATATGTGATAGAGCCAAAATGTAACCTAGGATAGAATCCATCAGCTTTAACCCAAAATTCACTCACTCTTAAATAAAACAAATGTTACATAAATTGAACATATTTTTCAGGTCGACATTTGGGCATTAGGAATATTATTATATTTTATGCTTCAAGCAAAGATGCCATTCAAAGCCTCAACAGTTCCACTTTTGAGAACATCGGTGTTAAAAGGTGAATTTGATATATCTACATCCATAAGTTTACCGTGCTGCAGGGTAATACGTAAGTATTCAAATTATTTATTTTCCATTATTAGGTATTATAATAATTTTTATAGTTTTAATATAAAAAACAAAAAAAGGTGCAGAATAAGAATATTTTAAATATATACGACTCCTAAAAATTTGCTAATAATCTGCAAGTTCAAAAGCAACAAATAATCAATGGGAAAAATAATCCAACTAGTTTTTTTTAGTGATTTCTTTTTGGCAGTCTTTTAACATTGTAGAAAATATTTATCTTCCTCAAGTGCATTTACTTTGGTGCGTTTTCCAAAAAATCATCTACAGTTTTTTTTTCCCAAGGGTTCATTTCAGATTGCAAAATGCAGTCATCATTTTATTCCTCTTGCCATTTTACATACGATGACAACGGCTTTTTGTAATATGAAATGTTACGAAGAAAAAAATTGGTATAGAATTTTTAACGCACCGCAAAGTAAATTGCTGCCAAGATTTGTTTCAATCTAGTTATTTATGGATTATTTGAAAGGTATTTTAATGCTAAAACTTTTGCTTCTTTTGAATGTTCTATTTCAATTGCAACTTTTTCCCAGTAACTTATGATTTTTTTTATCTTATTCTACCTATTCTTCAGAACGCATACTAGTACACTCGCCATCCCGACGACCCACAATTGAACAGCTATTGAAATGTCAATGGTTTGAGCACGCACAAGCAACTACCATCAAAAACACTCATAGAAAAGACTCCACCACGAATAGCCAAGATAGTGATATTAGTGAAGTTCCTAATCGACGTAGAAATTTGTTTTCGTTGTTTTCCACTAGAGGCCAACGTCGACAATATAATCCACCACAGTCATTTAATCATAGAAACACTGTAGCTGCCAACCAATCTGAAACAAACATACCAACGATACACACTATCAAATGTAGCACTAAACGCGCAAATAGTGTTTTAGAAGAGAGCTTTTTATATCCTATAATCGCAGAAGATACTCAAATCAAAGAATTAGATTCCAATACCGCGAAACAAAATTGTGATAGTAAGAATACTACATCTAGCAAAATTCGTAGGTTTTCGTTAAGTAAAGTCGTGAAAAAAAGAATAAGTCCAGTAGAAATCTCAAACTCGAATAATAATGATGAAACAAACACAAATATAAAGAAACTAGATTTCAGAGACCATTTACAACAAATAATTGAAGATGAACATGGAAGACATGTAATGCATCCAACCATCAACGGTCACATGCATCTATTAGAATTGGAAGCACGTAAGGTTATGGGGAAACTAGGTATATCGTCCGAAATGGTAGAGAAATCCGTAGGAAACGGGCCACGGAGTGATATCATAGGAATTTATCGAATAACGGTAAATCGTTTACAAAAAGAACAAGCCATCAATAGCATATCCAATAATGAATACCATGGAGGCTCTAGACAAAATATTCGTTTTAGTAAGCACCCGGCAAATAATGAGAAGAACAGAAATCAAAAAACTAGAATCCGGTATGCAAACACTTTGAACTGTGCCATACTATAGAAAATATCGATATTGTTGTTCCTTACACTTTTATTTAAATAAACCGTTTCTTGAACATTTGTCATACTTCAATCATTGCATCCAAATATCCGAAACATGTCAAATACAGTAATACTGTACTAACTAATATGTATAGCCACAAAAGTGTCATGATTTAAAAAAAATCGTTCCACTTGTTATATTTTGATACTGTTTCAGCATGGGGAAAATAATTTCCCAAAATTTTCCTGACGTAATACAACGGAATAACGGAATTTCCCTTAAGGGGATACATATAAGTAAGTCGGCAAAAACACACATTTAACTTTTTTTTTTGAACTTGTTTTTAGGGCATCAAAATATACATGTTCAACCGTAAGCAAAATAAATATGAAGACGTTTGTGAACACTTTGAACTGTGCCACACTATAGAAAATATCGATATTGTTGTTCCTTACACTTCTATTTAAATAAAACTTTTCTTGAACATTTGTCATACTTCAATCCTTGCATCCAAATATCCGAAACATTTTAAATACAGTAATACTGTACTAACTAATATGTATAGCAACAAAAGTGTCATGATTTAAAAAAAAAATCGTTCCACTTGTTATATTTTGATACTGTTTCAGCATGGGGAAAATAATTTCCCAAAATTTTCCTTAAGGGGATACATATAAGTAAGTCGGCAAAAACACACATTTAACTTAATTTTTTTTTTAACTTGTTTTTAGGGCATCAAAATATACATGTTCAACCGTAAACAAAATAAATATGAAGACATTTGGTGACAAAATTGCTGAGGTATTGTTAATTGAAGTTAGTGGTTTGAAAAACGGGTCTCACGATATCTCATCACTGCTTTGACCAAATTGGCTCATTTTTGAGGTGAAGAGTCGTTAAACAGGTTCCGTGTGCAAAGGCCGATTTTTGAAAAGTGGATTAAAAAAAAAAGATGAAAATATATTTATGTTTTTTCACATTAAAAATCGTCAGTTTTTTATTTTTGTTTTTTTTTTTAAGTAATTTCAAAGTCCGTCATGCACATCTTGAATACACGGGATACATCTTGAAAGTCTTCACAACAAATTTCAGCCGATTTGGTCCATCCAGTCGTGCTAAGAATATTCTTGGACACTTGCAGGATCCTTGCAAAAACGATACAGAATTAAAATTTTCAACTGTAAATCAAGTTTTGGAGCATTTCAGATGAATCAATTCATCAGGAAAAGTAATACCCCGTACAGACTATGGCTTATAGCATGTAATATAGGCTGTCTTGCAATGAGCATTCATACATAGGATTTCCAGTGAAAACTAGATGTATGAGTGCTCATTGCAAGGCAGCCTATATTACATGATATAAGCCATAGCAACAATCAATACGAAACTAACACACTTAGAAATTTTTACAGAAATCTGTAAAATTTTACCGAAATCTCAACAGCTGAACGTTCGGTAAACAGTTTCGCAGATTTCCTGTAACGTTTCACAAATATCTGTGAATTTTTCACAGATATCTGTAAAAAATTACAGGAAAACTGTAAAATTGTTTACCGAACATTCAGCTGTTGAGATTTCGGTAAAATAATCTAAGTGTGAACGATTTTAAATTGGCTCACCACTTTAGTAGCCTATTGGTCCTAAGCAAACGATTAACGTACCCTATTCTAGTTGAAATTCTATTACTACACTATGTTTGTTTTGATTCGCTATGAAAGTTTGACAGATAACATCAGGGGTGTGTGGATTCATGCAGAACATGCAGGGGTGAGTGAAATTGCTTGGGACTGCTTGGGACCGTTGTTCTGGTACTGAGTGAGCCAAAAATAATAATGATTTTCTTCGGGACCCAGTGGTCTTAGAGTTACCTCTGCCATAGTCTGTACGGGGTAAAAAAAAAGTGTTCCGCTTCCTATGCCTCACGGCAAAAATTTCTGCTCAAAACACTCATTTTGACGTTCTCCTATTTACCACTAGACGTTGAATCGATCGTTTAGTTTCTACTAGAAATACTCAGAGGGAGAGATGGGCGGAGAGAATGTTTTGAACCAAATGAACTGTCAAAATCTGAGCCAATCGAACATTCCTATTAGAATTTTTCCGATGATTTCTTATTCTTACTAGAATAAATTTGAGAGTATTGCAATCGAACAGAAATACAATTACCTTTATGTTTTGTGTGCTTCTCAAATTCAACTAGTTTTTGGAATCAAAAACAATATTCTAACTCTATTGGTTAATTGATCCTCGTCGGTTAATGAATGGCACCAAGAGATGTGCAAAATATTGCGATGCAATCAATTATTATTTTGCACGTACAACGAATAAAAAATACAAGTCATTTGAAATACTAGCTTCTAGCAAGTGTTGCAAGATAATTTAGGAACAAATCCCTGCTGCCGAATTGTATTTTGTTTTCTCCGCCTATCTCTCCCTCTGAGTATTTCTAGTTTCTACTAAAAAGGCGTATATGTTAAAATAAGTTTGGATTTTCTTGAAGTTTCCAAAATTTACTAGATGTTCTCGGATTTTTGTCAAGTTGCAACGATTTTCCTAATATTCATTAATCTTTAGTTTCATTAATTCGTTCCCGTTATTCATCTGGAATTCTCGGAATTTCTCTGTAGCTCCCGTAATTTTACTGGAATTCCCTAAACTTCTCTGAAGTTCGTTGGACTTCTGAGTGCTTCCCTAATCTTTCCTGAAGTTTTCTTAATTGCTTTGGAGTTCTTTGGACTTCGGTGAAATTATCAGGATTTCTCTAAGGTTAATTTTCCTGAAATTATTAATTTTATTGAAATTCATGGAACTGCCCTGAATGTATATAAACTCGGAGTTCTTTGAACCCTAATAAACGGGTACCATACTCTAACGATATCATAGATGGTACGACCATCCCACATAAAGTTGGGATGATATCCCGAATTGGTGGTTAGGCGCTTCTTATGGTTATTGTTTATGCGGGAACTTCATTTGAAATTGGGTTCTTTAAGGGTATTGAGGTAAATGCATATTCGTAATTTGCATTAAAAATGGAACTCAAACCCAAAATTTCATCAATTTTGGTACACTGGAACTATTTTAAATAAGTACGATTACATTTGCAAAAAATCACCTTATTAGCGCCCCTCGGTGTCACTTTGTATGGGAGCGAGCTGTCAGTTTGTTAGTTTAGTGTCAAACAGTGAAGTTATTAGTTTGCTTTAAATCTTGATTTAAAAATCAAGATGAAAGTGTGTGGGTTCGTAAAAAATATCGCAGTACACTGGAGTCGCTTTTTACGCGGGTGATACGTCCCGCGTAAAAAAAAACCGCGTAAAAAAACCGCGTAAATTCCGAAATCCGCGTAGAAAAAACCGCGTAAATTCCGAAATCCACGTAAAAAAAAACCGCATAAAAAGACCGTGTAAGAAAAAACCGCGTAATAAGCGATATACCGCGTCAATTCTGAAATCCGCTTAAAAAAAACCAAAATCCGCGTAAAAAAAACCGCGTAGATTCCGGAATCCGCGTAAAAAAAAACCGCGTAAAATCCGAAATCCGCGTAAAAAAAACCGCGTAAAAAAACCGTGTAAAAAAAACCGCGTAAAAAGCGACTCCAGTGTACTCAGAAAACGAAGCTCTTTAAGATGATGTATAAAAACCGATACATTTTTCAAAATTAAAGAACCCAATTATCATAAGGTTAATTTTCCTGAAATCTGAGAAATTTTATTGAAATTCATGGAACTGGCCTGAACTTATAGAAAACCATCAATAGCATATTTCATAATAATAAACTATCGTGAAAGAATAGACTTTCCAAAAAAATCGGAGCAGCGCCGAAGTTGTTGAAAATATACTTTTAACTTCCCTGAATTTCTCTTTTTTTTTTTAATTCTTTATTATAGAGATTTTTAGCCATAGGCTAGTGTGGTAGATAGAGTTGGTGTGGAATAATAATAATGAAATAAATAAAAACTTGAGAGGTGAGTCAAGTAATGAAACACTCAATTTGAGTTAAACTAAATTAGAGTGGAGCGTGGCAGAAGTGATAATAGAGAGATGCGAACAAAATCTCATGCTTAGTGAGGGGAAATTCTGACACAGCACGGAGGTATAAAAACGAGCTACCTAAGCTCGTAGAGGTCACGTTCGTTCGCAAGTCGAATTAGCTCCGCGTTGTGTAGTGACGCTCTCGCTGACCCAGCCATGGGTAAGAAATCGCGCGGTAACGCGAGTGCCGGTTTACCGGGAAAACAGACTCTCCCAGGAGACGGCGCGACCACCGAGCCAGCCCAGAAGAAGCAGAAGAAAACCCCATTGCCCATCCCGACAGGCGTTGCGGACCCGCAGCCGGGGCCTCCCGGAACTAAACGACCCAGACCTGAAGACAGCAGCGCCACCGTATCAGCAGCAAAAAAGCTGCTGAGCAACAATCCGTTCTCCGCCCTGCAGAACGGAGCGCAGCCGCAGTCGGACCCTGAGACGGTGCCGAAAAAAGTTAAGTTGCCACCCTTCTATGTGAAGGGCTTCCCTCCCGGGCTATGGGAGCAGCTGGATTTCTACATTAAGCAGGGCCTTCGCTGCACCATTCAACGGTGCACGGAAGGCTACAAACTGATGGTCCCGGCCGAAAAACACTTCAACGCAGTTCAGACCCTCTTGGACAGAATGAAGCTGGAGTACTTCTCCCACGACATCGAGGCCACCAAGCCGCTGAAAGTGGTGCTGCGCGGGCTCCACGACATGGATACCACCACCTTAATGGACGAGATTAAGGCGAACGGCCTCAAGCCGGTCGAAGTCCACAAGATGACCCGCAGCAAGGCCATCAAGTATCGTGACCAGCTCTACCTGGTCCATCTGGAGAAGAACTCCACAACCGTGAAGGATCTCCAGACGACACGCACACTGTTCCACATCGTAGTGAAGTGGGAGCGGTATAAACCCACCCACCGTGGCGTCACTCAGTGCTCGAACTGCCTATTGTTCGGGCACGGCACCAGGAATTGCCGCATGGCCAGCCGCTGCATCAAATGCGGCAAAAACCACAAGATCGACAACTGCGACAGCATCGAGGAAGCCACTCCCACATGCGCCAACTGCGGTGCCGCCCACAAGGCCACGAGTAAGGCCTGTCCGAAGCGGGCCGAATACGCCGAGATCCGGAAGAAGGCCTCGTCCAACAGCCAGCCCGGTCGCAAGAAGGTTCCAGAAAACAACGCGCAGAACTTTCCTCCGTTATCACCGGTCCAATCACGGCCAATTCCAGTGCTGCCGCCGCTCCCGCTCAACCAACAGTTGGCTGCTGCCCAGTTGGCTGCCGCTGCAGTACCCGGTCAAGCCTCCGGGCCATCGACGGATCCCCCTGCTCCGGAATTGGCCGGCACAACCGGTGAAGCTACAGACGATTCTCCGCTGTCAACGGATGAGATCGTCACACTGTTGGCCCAGGCCATCATCATCAAGCGCACCTGCGCAACAAGAACACAACAGCTCCAAGCTATCATCTCCTTCGTCGCTAATTATGGACCGTGAACCCATAAAGATCGCCAACTGGAACGCTCGCTCCGTAGGGGCGAAAAACATTGAGCTTGCAGACTTCCTCCGCAAGCACGACATCGACGTGGGCCTTCTCACCGAGACCCACCTCAAGACCGGTGACAGCTTCTGGCTGCCCGACCACAGCATTGTCCGGCTTGATCGCACCAGCTCCAGGGGGGGCGGTGTCGCGGTCATCATCAAGAAAGGCATCAAGTACTGCACCCTACCCCACTACCGCACTTCCATCATCGAGGCCGTCGGCGTTGAGGTGGAAACATCGACCGGAAACGTCCGGTTCATCGTTGTCTACTGCCCCCGGCAATGTACCGTTAGCAATGGTACAGCACAGCAGTTCAAGAACGACCTTGCCATCATAACCCACACCAATGCCCGCTTTGTAATCGGAGGGGACCTGAACGCCCGGCACGAGGCCTGGCGGAACTACCAGCAGAACCAGAACGGCCGCCTGCTATTCGACCATTCCCAGCATGGTCTCTATTCCGTCTGGTTTCCGGACGAACCAACCTTCACATCACCGACGGGCAACCCATCGACGCTGGACCTGTTCTTGGCAAACACCAGATTAGCCAAGCCGGTTGCCGTCAACGACCTGAGTTCGGACCACCAACCGGTGCTGACCGAGCTGGGCTACAACGTGGCCCCTGCACCGTGCCAGCGGAAGGACTACCATCGAGTCAACTGGGTCCACTTTCGACGCGTGGTCGACCGCCACATCGACGACAACACACCGCTCGACACAGTTGATGACATCGACCGGGCCCTGGAGGGTCTCCATCAAGCCATATCCGTGGCTGACGAAGAGTGCGTTCGACGAGTTCCTGTGAGGGGTAAGTTTCAAGCAATTGATTCCCACACCAAACTCTTGATTCGGCTCAGAAATGTTCGTAGACGCCAGTTTCAGCGGACTGGGGATCTGCAGCGTAAATACGAAATGGTCGATCTGAATCGGCAGATCGCTTCCAGAATGGTCTCAATCCGGAACGAGAGTTTCGGGCGGCTCGTTCAGAACCTGGACGACCGTTCCAGACCATTCTGGAAGGTTGCCA